AAAGAAATTAACAGTGCCCCGAGCAAGCCGACCACTTAACCAACTTGTACATTTAGAAAATTTGATTGCAAGGGGAGTTGTTTTGTAAAAATGTCTCTTTCAAATAACTTATTAATTGCGAGCCCGTGGGCTGGTAATTATGTACTTGGGGGTTTTAAACGGCTGACACAACTTTTCTGTAGCGGTTAAACACTTAACGAAATAATCCGGTAAAACCCTCCACCAAAGTGGCCCTGGCGAAATGTCTTTGTTGAAAAGGCTTAAGTAGTCAGGTATTTGAATTTAACTCTTTGTTGTATTGTTTGGTATACGTTTAGACATGATTATTGTGGACTTAATGTTTATGAATATAAAACATGTACATTAGAATTAACACTTTTGTTGTTTGTTTTTAAGGGCGTCAATGCACCAAAATTCTTTTTTTTATGTTTTTATATTACCATTTTGTAGCCTGAAATTTCCCGTTTCCCACGATATCGAACAATATGTAAGTTATTGGCCCTAAATATAATATAACAATTCTTTCCTAGGAGTATGTCAGCTGTTTTTCAGCTGGACAGTGCCTCCAGTTCTTTTGTGGTTTTCCGAAAGTTAATTTTTTTTCAGCACATATGTTCATTTTACTGAATAACCGCTGAATCAAATTGGTATTTTTGGGCTTGTAAAGTTGCCTAGATACACAATAATTTGAAATAATAAAAACATAATAATTACCAACAATAAAATTTTTATAAAATATTATAATTTTTAATTAAATTTAAAAAAAAATATATTTTTTGGAAAAATCATAAAAAGTTTAAAAAAAGTTATATTTTTAACCGACTTCCCACTACCAACAAAAGGAGGAGGTTCTCAATTTTTTTGTGGCAATGTTTTTTTTTCTATGTATGTTCACCAATTTCTCTGTGATTCTTTTACCAATCAGCGTGAACATAGACGTTAACATTGATAAGGATAAGGCGAACTGACCCCCTTAATACTGATTATTATTTATTGTTACCAATTTAATAAATCGCTTGTCTTCTATTTTCAATTAAGAGTTCTGATTCCGATAGTTATACTGTTTTGTTACTTGTGTGACTTAGGGTTATAGAATAACTGTTATTAATAATTAATAATTAATCTACTGTGTTAACTATAGGGAGGAGATTTTCTAGTACATTAAAATGATCTCAATGTCTGATGGATTTGCCTTTTTTAGAAAATCCCCTTACAAAAGAAGCTATTACCGTAGGTGGCACGGTAAGACCTTGACTCGGCACTGATTTGCTTTTTAATTTTGGTTCCCCAGTGACAAAAATACCGCTATTAGTTTATATATGTGTCCGAAAACAGGATCACTCTTTCCGATTTTAATGAAATTTGATATGCACGTGTAATGCAAAAAAGGCATGCATGGCTGAAAACACATGAGTTTGCGAACCAGCATAATCGGGCCATTGGGAACGTTATGGAGTTTAAAATATATTCAATTTTGACTTTTCACAGTTTTACTCATCAAACATATAAATTCACAATTTTCATTACAGCCTTCGTTTTGGCTTGAAACAATTAATTTTGTACATTGAATTGTTGTATAATTAAATGCTAAGAAATATATCCCAACAACTAGACATTTCAAAATCCCATGTTATTCTTGTGGAGAAGTAAACTGTTGAAGTGTTTATCGTCAAACACGTATTAATACAATTGTTTCCTTCAAAGATAAAAAAAATCCGTGGTAAACCATTTCAACAATAATTGTATTCCAAAAGTTTAATTTTATTTCCCTGGTTTAAAGTAGAATTAAAAAAATTTCGTACGACGTAACTATCACGAAAAGGATTTTTTATTTGTTCTGTATTTTGATGTCACCCAAATTTCCAATAAAATAGTCCACAAAGATTTAATATACTCATCCATGTGTAGATGAAACAAAAAAAAATATGTTACAGACTTTTTTACGTAAAACAAATCGATTCTGCTGAAGAAAAACCAGCAAAGCCAGTAAAAGCTCGATATGAAAGCTACAAAGTTCATAAGCGATATACTGCGGCGGTTCGTATTGGATGGTCGAATAATAATTGACATTAACTAATATTAAATACAATACCGTCATGGTTTTAATAACGTTATATTGGTGTTTGCGTCGATCGCAATATGTGATGTTTTGCGTTTGTTTTTGCCGGTGCAAACAGCTGTTTGATATTTGCGGATCGCTTGTTGTAATTATCAGATGTTATATGTGTTTGATATTAGTTTCGCGGATGTAATATTGTGCTGCAAAAACCGACTGGACGTTTAAATAATATTGAAAGCTATGAGGTTTACATGTAAGCTTATATAAAATTTATGTGGACATTTTATTTTACGTTGTTAACCGTTATTATCGTTTAATATTACTGTGGTAGGATGACTAAATTAATATAGATAATTTGGGACCTTTTCCATTAATTCACTACCCCTAGTTGAATGTGGTTAGGTTAGTCTAGGTTAGGTTAGGTTAGGATATGCTATAATAGGTTAGATTTTTCTTGCTCTATAATAAACTCACCAAAGTTTTATTCACCACCACTTCTATTGCTAATAATCTATTGCTCTAAATACTAGTGGTAGCGAATTAACGGAAATGTCTGAGTTTCTTTTATAATGATGTGGAATGTATGGCATCTGACTGTGATCATATTTACACTATTAATAGACTAATGCAATTTTGTGATAAACATGCTTTAGATATGCAAACCAAAATATAAATTAGGTGCGACATACTCTTGTTTGTTAGGAAATTACTTGATCGTTTGTTAGCACTTAAATGCTCAAAATATTTTTTGAAATTTGGAGAATTAATGCACCCAAGCTATAGTGGCTTTTATATTATTTGCCACATAGTAAACAAACATTAGCACACGTCAGGATTTGAACCCGAAGGTCTTCAGGATGGCGCGGCACTTAACGCACAGACCATCCAAGTAATATGATAAACTCAAGTTATTTTAAATATCATTGACAGTGGTATTAATTGGCTTGTTTTTTACTATATTTTGCTAAACTGACAAGATGCCCCGCCGATTCAAATTCCTTTGCACCAATCTTCAACTTCTTTAAGAAAACTATTGTTGTATTATTTTATGTAAGTGTAAAAAGAGGACACAATTGAAGTCCTGACAATGATAAGTAATGATAGTGTATTTACAACTATTTCACTTATAATGATAGTCGTTAACAACTAACCTAAAAATAAATTGTAAGTAAAATCTGAGCATTCTTGGTGTTTGGCTGTATTTTGTAATTTCTTTTGGCAAAATTTATCCCATAAAAACTGCCAAGTTTAAAATTTGACAAACATTTTTCATACTCCAATCATCCGACCCCAAACATTTGCGTTTTTCCCATGCGATTAAAATACGAGAGGAAAAGAATAAAAAAACTAAATTCGTCAGCCCGGATATGTTGTTTGAAAACTGCCCTCATGAAGTTTTGTGGTTTTTAAAGCCTAAAGTACACAGCTTTTACAGCCTTTATAAAACTGCTGCCTGCTTTTTCATTTGTTTTAATTATTTGATGACGTTCGCAGAACGGCCACATTTTTTTTTGTTTGAACCAAAGTGGAAATAGGGGATTGTCAATGAGGGTGGCACAGTGTATTATTACATGTAAATGTCAATTTTTTTATTGTGAAAATTCAGCTTTACACATTATTTTTTACTTGTCACAACTTTCTGTTATTCGATTAATAGTTTTACCACCAAATAGTCTAGTGGTGAGCAAAGTACATATTTTTGGAAAATCCTTATTGGATCCGATCACAAAGTTTGTTCACACCCATTAAATATCCGTACGTTATTTGCAGTTGGCATGCAAAAATATTTTAATTATTTTACTAGCCTAATTAAGGACTTCAAATACAATTTCTTCGATTTTTAAAAGGTTCTTACACGGAAATAAAATTTAGCGGACACTGCTACACCATATAAAAACATTTTGATTTTATTTGTTTACTATTGATACACAATACACAAATTAATTGTTGTATTGGATATTAAATTATAGCGGAACCCTATTTAAAAGGTTTCCATTTTAGCCCAGTTGTGCATAAGCAACGTGAAACATTTTTGTGAAAACATTAATAATTTAAGATTAAGGCCCGTCGATTATGATGAATAATTGTAGCCGATTTTTCGTTCTTTAACTAAGTTGCAAAAAAAACCAATCTAATAATAAACTCTATCAGACGCTGAGACACCGCTTTTGCAATAAACAAACAATACAATTTTACAACATCTCCATTTTAAAGTATTATGAAGTACAAGTTCTCACTCAATCTCGCTTTTCATAAAATAAACAAGAAGAATATTAAATTCGCAAAATTACAGTGCCATTTTTTTATTAGATTAGGCAATTTTCAATTTTTTATACCTATCATTCGCGAGTAAATTTAATCAGTTATTTTTCCAATATATTTTGGTGTTATTGGTTGATAAAATAAATTTAAACTAAAAATACTTGTATTTTACATCATTATGGTACGAACTCAATACACATATCAAAAAGTAAGTAAGCCTGTGCCTATTTATATTTCATATTTAGTTATTTTTAGTGTTACTAGGTTACGTGATATATTTGCATACTGTATGCATTGTAGACTTTTAGTATTTAAAATCAAATGAATCCCACTATTTGTTAAGGGTGTGTAAAGATTAGTTTAGTGAGGTTAATGCTAAGCCAAAGTATGAGTCTATCGCAACTATACTCGGTGCTACACACAAGTGTGAAATAATCCTCTTCGACAACATCTCCACGTCGAAACGGGAGGAAATTTAATTTAATCGAAATCCCGCGAGACATAGCAAAGCCACAATAAAACTAAAGCACAAATAATGTTTACTAATAAAGGGGGTCGAAGCTGCGGTATCTCTAGTGGGGGGAGGGGAGGGTCTAGATAATAGTCGGCTTTATTAAGTACTGCTTACCACTACCACTTACCTGGAGAATCCATAAGACAAAACAGGGCTTGCGGCGCGGGACAGTTAATTTGCTCAGCCATAGCGACCGAGCCCCGCCCCCTGTGTGGACCAATCAGAGAGCAGGAGCGTCCCCCCACCCTCCTACCCGCCCATACACCGTGACACCCGGTACATCTGATCAGTTGCCCGTCGGACCCATGTGTGTAGACATGGACGATACACGCCTGTTCTTGGGCTACCACGTGCCGTCCGCGCAGAACTTCGAGAGTCCTTTGGATCTGAGAGGACACCTGAGCCCACCAGCGCCTCCGTCCCCGGGCCCCAGCACTGCCGAGGAGTCCGACGCCGACATCAACGTGGACTCGGACGACCCTGAGGACCGCTACCGGTACGACTTCCATAGATACCCGCAGGAAACGCGGATAGAAGAAGCCCCTACTGAAGACGCTGAGAAGAAACCTTCATCGAACCTGGTGAAGCCTCCGTACTCCTACATAGCGCTGATCACCATGGCAATACTTCAGTCGCCGCACAAGAAACTAACGTTGAGTGGCATTTGTGAGTTCATCATGGCGAGATTTCCCTACTACAGGGAGAAGTTCCCCGCGTGGCAAAACTCTATAAGACACAACCTCTCGTTGAACGACTGTTTCATCAAGATCCCCAGGGAACCCGGTAACCCTGGCAAAGGTAACTACTGGACCCTGGACCCCATGGCGGAGGATATGTTCGACAACGGGAGTTTTCTCAGGAGGAGGAAGCGCTACAAGAGACAACCTCCGGAATTGTTCCTGCGTGACCATCACATGGCGTCGTTCCTGGGGCAGGACCCGTACCACCCGCTACATCTGCACCCTCCCTACCCGTATCTGTCACCTCTGCCGCCCGCGGTGCCACTACTTCCTCCGGCCGACCTCGCACGGCTGTCCCTTGGACTCAACTTCCTGTCTAGCTCCGGGAGTACACTTCCATGTAAGCCTGTGCCTGTGACCGCCTCCTCGCAGCTGCCTCTGCCCAGGCCGGTGTTCAGTATAGAGTCGCTCATCGGCAAGTCGACCCCGAAGATTCCCAAGCCCGCGGCCAAGGTGGCGGAGCCCCTACTGCCTCCTGTGACTCGCTCCCTCGACTCCGCGTTCACCCCACTGGCAGCGGCTTGGGCCAGGTGAGCCGCCCTAGGCCAAGGTAATCTTTTCCACGTGTAAGTACCAAATGACGATCCATAAGCTGTAATATTTTAGTGCGGATAGTTATATTGCAGATAGCTTTATTGAAATTGCGTTAGAGAATGTTTTGGTTAAAATACAGCAACTGAGGAAATCAGGTATGAAATAGTTGAGAAAATACATAAAATACCAATCATCAAAAATTTTTTTTAAATAATTCATTCTAACCAATTAGGAAGTGTGCTATAACCATTGAAACGATGCGAGCAGAAAAAAAATTGCAATGCAAATACAGTATCCGATTTCAAATGTTTACATTTAAAATTCACAACTATGTTAATTCGTAGTATATTAGTAATTTTTTTTATTAAATAGGGTGATTCGTATAGCAATTGAGTCAAACAATCGATGTTCAGTACTCATTTAGCAGTTTTTTTCAAGCTCAACCAGTATTTTAAACATTCGACGTTTGCCTACTGCACCATATGCTCGAGAATCCAATGGTATTTGCAATAAAAATTTTTATCACAGTTTTGAAAACTTGCAAAAAGGTCATATAATTAAACCCACGAAAAATACAATACATTTTATAGATAAGATCGTCATTTGGCGCTGCGGAAAAGTGAATTAAAATTGTAATCTAGTTTTCACCACGATGTAAATGTGTTCATATTAAATGTAGAGTTTTGTATAGTATTATATGTATATTGCGTGTATATAAGACAATATTTATATTAGTTTTATTCATAAAGACATATCGTCAAAGAGCATCTTCGTTTGATCTCAAAATATAGTTGGTGTGATTTGCTTTTTAAAGTTATGTATTACAAAAATTGTAACAAGAAAAGATTAAAAACTAATTAGTATTTTATAAGTTTCTTTCATTAATTGTACATGGATAGGCTAAATTAGGTTATTTTATACGCAGTGTTACAAAAAAACGAGATTACAAACATTGTAGATTTTAAAAATTACGCTCTTAACCGGAACCATTAAAAAACAGTTTTTGTAAAAAAAAGGAAGAGAGTCACTTAATTTCTTAGTTGTTATAAAATTTTTGATCGACTAAACAAAATTACGAAACTAAATTGAATTACTAACAATTGTAAAATAGTAATTCTTAATGTTTTAATGGTAAAAGAAACACTGTTTAGCTATTTGTTCGATCAATTAAAACTGTTAATCATTCGGTAAAAATATAAAATAAGGTTTTTTTTAATTACCGAGTTTAGTAAATCTTTTATTTACTATTGCCCTTAAGACATTGAAAACCAATAGGAATTTTAAATCAAAATTGTGTACACTATTTTCATACGAAAAAACTATGATTCAAATTTATTCTTTGGAGATATTTGATTTTAGAATGAAATACAGTACTATTATTTTACAAAGCTCTTTTCTCACTAAATGCTTTAAAAGTGAACAAGTAAAATTAATATATAAATACGAGTAAGTCCTTATCACATATTTGAATATTTAAATAATATTTATTGACTTCAAGTCCAGGCGGTATAATTAAATAAAATATTTTGTTTAAGATAAATTTAATTTACATTAATTTATTTTCATTAATCTATTTACATTAATCGATTGTTTAATAATAAATTGAAAACAAATTGAATAGTGTGAATCCCAGCTATGTACAGTGTTTATTAATTGTACATCCGTCACGTATTTATATACATTTTTCTGATTTTATTATATTTTAATAACTATGTTATGCAAATCCTGTACTATGTAACGATTGTATTTTGGATTTTTACTTAACTAACTAATTAAATTAAACTAGAATTAAAATTCAAATTGAAATAGTTGAAAGAAATACGCGGTCATAGCTGAAATAATTACAAGATTTGCGATCCGTTAAAATATATTTGAACAAAACCACGGCGTTGTATATTTATTTAACATTGGAAATTACTTTATTTTTTCATAAATTGTTCTTATATGTAGTTCCAAAAATGATCAACAAGAAAACTAGACAAAAAGCTCTTGTTTTTATAAATTTTGGATTTGGGCATTATTTTAGTAAAAAATTAGTTTAATGAGGCATTTTTATATACATGTTACAATTATTTTAAATACACAAGTTTGGTCTAATTAACATCATTTTTTTGTTTCACTTTGTTTGTTTTCGAATCTTATTGTACAAACAAAGTATATTCCTTAAATTAACTCAAATTAAGTGTTTTAGTTTAAAATATTAAAAGTTGTTCATTACAAGAACAGCATTTTAGGCTACTACAATTTAAACAATATGTTAGATTGCCTGTGTCCCCAAATTTAGACAAACTACACACTATTTATGTTCCTCTTATTTTTAAGCTTTTGTATATTTTACTATTATTTATTCGTTAGTTAAGGCGCATTTTAAAACACAATGACCAATTTGTTTACACAACTGGTCTGTGAGTTACCAAAGGTGTTGTACATAATGCATAGAGTAAGAGGTGTAACCCCTTTAATGTACATAAAGTACGTTAGCGATTGTAATGTTTATATGTAGTGTTATGAGATTTGTAATTATGTATTGATAGCTCAACTATTACCATGTACAGACTCTATGTGATAATTATATTGACTGAATATATTACAGTGAACCTAAACCTATGTATTATTTAGCACCATAAAAACCTTGAGCATTTCGAGCTATTTATTGATAAAAAATATAACTTTAAAATTGATAAAGTTATTAAATTACTAAATTGGTGATTTAATAATTTTGTATTTACTAAATTACAAAATTAAGTATTACTTTGGTATTCTAGCAGTATATAGTGCGATTTTAAAAATGGTGTTTAATTTTTTTAGTATTTTATTTTTTTTACTATAAGTTGCTTGTAAGTTAATTCAATTTTAAAAGTGGAACAACAAGAATTTTAATGATTTTAATTATATTTAAAATTATTATGATGATGATTTTAATTATTAAACTGAAAAACAACCACTTATTACATATTTACAACCAATTTAATCAAACATTTTTTTGTAATTTTTAAAATCATTTACATTATTTGTACTTTTTTAAAATAATTTAAATTGTGTTGCGTATGGTACAATTTTAATCTCCTGAGAAGACACTACATAATAAACAACTTTTAAATCTTTTAAATCATCAATCTTTGCACTTATATTAGCAAATATAGTTTAGATAGCTTATGGTAAAGATGTTTACGTCTCATATGTGTTAAATATGTTTGAATTTTTTTACTAACAGAATATTGTTGCTAAATTTTAATGGCAAAAGACCTTGTGCCGAATTATGTCAATATTTTAAAATTTTATCTACTGGACGAATATTGGATAAAATTGCATACACATTATTCACTTTTACTACACTTTATAAGAGTATAATATGCGTTCCTTACATTAACAAATAAAAAAAATAATATAAAAATTAAGTTTTTAATGAATATTTCAAATATAAAAATTACATGTTTATTTTTTATCTTCATTACTGTTATTGAAGGTTTTCAGGATATAATAGATATTTAATGCAACTATGGATTACTTTTACTTAATTATTAAAAATAATAAATTGTTGGAAGAATATCCTAGGTTTTCTGGATATTGTACCGGTAGTATGAATAAACGGTAGTTTTTATAAATAAGTTGTTTAAATCTTTTGGCAATGCTACAACCTCCATGTGCTATGGCTGTATCTTGTCTAAATGAATGCGTTTATTTTCATTAATTCCAGTCATGCAATTAGAAATGATTTCTCTATTATTGTTATGTGCATAGAATGTTTTTGGAAGAAGGATCATCGCTCTAGCTGCACTATCTAGATCTAGATTATGGATTTAAATGAATATTCTAGCTTGTAAATAAATATTCCTAAAGTTTGTGGCAAAACTACAACAACTAGACATTCCATCCCCATTTTAAATTTTTAGCCAGCTTTTTTTATCGAAATCGTCGTAGTTAATGTGAGCCACCTACAGATTGCGCTGATCTAAATTACTAAATTCTGCCGAATACACAACCTTTTTAACCAAGTCGAACTTAGGGAATGACTTATGATGAGTTATAGCAACTGTTATGACCCGTCAACCTGGTCAGCAAGAAAGAAATAAGGCATAAGATAGAATTTTAGACACTAGCACATTCTGTGACTGGCTCACACAACTACATTCTTTTTTAATAAAAATTGGCTACAGCTGGTCCATATAGATGGGAAGTCCACTTCAGTATCCAATAGCCAATGCTACTACCAAAACACCATTGATTTATAATATACATAATATTTATATACAACATTACCTTATGGGTTTCTTACTATTAAAACTTGATGGATTTCTGTTCTCATCCAGCAAAAAATCCAAATCCCTAACTTTGTATTAAGTATGTTACTGGTTACTGGTACAGTACTAGTATATTAAGCTAGAATCTAATTTCATAGTAGAAACAATGAAATATACAATTTCAGTCGTGTTGGTTGATATATGGACCTCAAACAATCAAGGTGTAATCTAATGTGGTGAAATCATTGACTTAAATATTGAAGTAGACAATTTGGCAATTCCAAATCCAATTGTGTACAGGATAACAAGACGTCAACAGATTGTTTGTGTGTGCGTGTGTGTGCAGCAAGGAGGGGTAGGGAGAGGATGGCACTTACAAGTTGACAAATTAGTCAAGTGTTGGGCCACAAATAACTCCGTAGACGTTTAATTAGTTGCCAGTCTGTTCTAACCGATTGCCCTCTCCGTCATCCGCTCCAGAGAGGAATGGTAGAAGGGAGAGGGATAGAAGGTAGAGAAATAGAGGTCGTTTGGACACGGAAGAAAAGGTAACAGAGATTCCACAAGAAATGTAATTGCATTAGCTTGTTACATGTGGTCATGTGATTTCTTGAACTTCTTGTTAAAGAGCTGAAATCTATCAAGCCCTTTCCAATCATAACTAGATGTGTAGTCTGAATCAACAGTAGGAAAACGGCTGAGCGTACACTGGTACATAGAACATGCTGCTCGTAATTTGGTGTTAGCATAGCATCAGTATCGGAATAATCAGTATTGACTCAGGAAAGTTTGGACTTGCAAAGTGTTAAAGATTTATAGCTTTTAACATTTTG